TTTGCCAAGTGAAACAAGTCAAGAAAACGACTGCCGAGGCTTAGAATACGACGTTGAAGATAACGTGGGGCAAGAACCGGAAGAAAATGAAGACGAGGAGGATGCTGACCTACCTGAGAGATCGAACATTTATGATCTACGAAACAGATCAGAAATCAATGTTCCGAAGAGGTTCGACGACTACATCATGACTGCAGTTACTAATGTTCAAGAACTGAATTAGCCTGAGTCATACACGGAGGCAATGAGAAGTGAAAAGGCTTCCTACCGGAAAGAAACGATGGAAAGTGAAATGAAGTCGCACAAGGAAAACCAAACTTGGACCCTGGAGAAACTGCCTGCAGGAAAGAAATGTATAACATGCAAGTGGTTATACTACAAAGTAAAAACTAATCCTGACGGCTCAGTTGTCAGGTTTAAAGCAAGGTTGGTGGTTAGAGGTTTCTCGCAGAACAAAGGAGTGGACTTCAACCAGACTTTCAGCCCAGTAGCAAGACTCAGCACAATCAGGTCTCTACTGAGTGTAGCAGCTGTGGAACATTTGAGTTTAACACAATTTGATGTATCAACCGCATTCTTATACGGCCAAGTCGATGAAGTTATTTACATGACGCAGCCTGAAGGATACAAGGATGGTACAGATCGTGTGTGCAGGCTGAACAAGAGTCTCTACGGTTTGAAACAGGCACCTCGCTGTTGGAGTACCAGATTCAACAAATTCATGGAACTTGAAGGATTCAAGAAAGTAATGCTGATCCGTGTCTGTTCATAAAAGAAGATGGAAAAAGTAAACTGATTGTAGCGCTGTACGTAGATGACGGGCTTATAGCGACAAACAACACGGGAATGCTTCAGAACTTCATGGATCATCTGACGAAGGAGTTCAAAATCACATCCAAACCAGCATCTTTCTATTTAGGCCTAGAAATAGAACAGAAAAGTGACGGAAATGTTAGAATATCGCAGAAAACGTATACAAAGAAAATTCTTGAACGCTTTCAGATGAGTGACTGTAAACCAGCTCCAACACCCATCGTGAAAGAGAACGAAACGCAACCAGCAGGGAAAGCAGAGAGCTCAAGAGACAAGTTTTCATACACTGAAGCTGTAGGTGCTGTGATGTACCTGATGACAGCAACAAGGCCAGACATAGCCTATGCTGTGAGTAAAGCATCGCGTAATCTTGAAAACTCGTCTCACGAAGACTTCATAAGGGTGAAGAGGATACTGTGATACCTGAAAGGAACGATCGACTACAGAATAGAATACCAGTCCAAAGAAAACAACCATGTTTTGGAGTGCTTCAGCGATGCTGACCATGCTGGAGACTCATCGACCGGACATTCTACAACAGGAGTAGTCTGCAGTTTTGGAGGAGGAGTAATCGCCTGGCTTAGTCAGAAACAATCGAATGTGGCAATCTCAAGCACTGAAGCCGAAATTGTTGCAGCCAGTGAAGCCTGTCGTGAAATCGTTTGGCTGAAACGACTTTTGGAAGAGATAACTACACTGAAAAGTGTGCCAGTTCTCAACATCGACAACGAAGCAACAACACGGTTAGCTGAAAACCCTGAAAACCACAGAAGAACAAAGCAGGGTGAAGTGGGGTAAGTGTAACCACACTTTGGCATAGCTCAGCTTTGACCTCAAATTGCCATCTTGTTATACATGATATAGTTCTCAAAATTTTCATGCATAAACTTTGACTAATGGGCTTTAAAACATAATATGCATTGTAATTAAAAAATAAAATCTTTTTTTGGTAAAAAAATGACTAAAAATTTTGCGTTTTGTGGTTACACTTGCCCCAGGGTTCGGGGCAAGTGTAACCCCTGCCTGTTAAAAATATATAAAACATTGAAAAAGAGACATGGGGCAAGTGGCCAGATTCCAAATCTTTTGCTGATTCCAAAACTTTTTAACTTATTAAAATATCTTAATTTTTACTCAAGTTACGAACTTTTTCGTGAACCTCTTCTCGCGTTTTGTGAAAAACACAAAACATGCAATTACGGAAAGATTACTGTTAAAACATAAAAAACACAACATTAAATGGTACTTATATAGTTTTTAATGTTGTTTAACATGTGTAGAATAAATCTCACAGTAATATTGTTTTTTTTATTTACATTTGGGCAAGACAATCCTAAATTATAAAATGGGGTAAGTTTAACGTAAAAGTTATATAGCCTCATCACTTAAGCAGTTCACTCACAAACAATTATGTTTTTCTTCTCAGACCAACTTAAAACTCAGTAAAAATATGTGTAAAATTTTACCTTATCTTTTAAATTCCTATAATTTTATATTTAGGCCTACAACAAAGTTTTTTTTTTCTTTACTGGATATTATATGAATTACACCCTGGTTACACTTGCCCCAAATCCAAAAAGCCACTTGCCCCGACTGCAAAATTTCAGGGGTAAGTGTAACCACGCTTGTAAAATCTAAACAATAGGAAATAGCACAGATCTGAAATTATATTCAGATTCTACATGCAAAAATTAGTTTGTAAACCAAAAACTGTCAAATTTACATTAAAAATGTGAGTATGAAAAATTGTTAAAGTTTGAGGTCGGCACTTGCCGATGGAGTGGAAATGTAAGCCTTTTTTTTTAAACATTCTAAAACTATTACTTGCACATATTTTATATGCATTCAAGGCTAAATATAACAAAGGAAGGTCCAAATAACAGGATATGATAGTATTTAGGTCCAAAATTATCTTATCAGTTGAGTGATAAGCCATGGTTACACTAGCCCCCCAGTTAGGCCTACTCTTACCCCACTTCACCCCATATCAAAATTAGACATTTCTTCATCAGGGAGCTTGTAGTGGAAGGGCAAGTCAAGGTTAATCATGTACCAGCTGAGTTCCAACTGGCAGACTGTATGACCAAGCCTCTCCACAAGCCAAGACTAAAGACTTTGTGGCAAGCTATGGGACTTAACTAGTGACTTTAAAAATTCTTTAAATGAGGGAAAGTGTTAAGATATGTAATTATCTGTCATTTCAATAATTTTGCTTTATGTTTTTTTTACAGCTGTGCTATTATTACTAATGCAGCTTTGTCATATAAACAAATAATATGAGTTTGTTCGATGTGAACATAACAAAAATGTCTAAATACAATTATTCTTTCCTGTATCAACAGTAGTTATTTTCTTTAATTTCAACAATATTTTACCAACTTATTGATAATAGTAGGCCTACTAAGTAATTGTGGAAATTGGAAATTTTTCAATTAAGTTAATTTATTTTTGGAAAAAAAGTTAAATTAAAATTTTACTTTATAAGTTTAAGTTATTTTGACAAAAACTTTTTTCATATGACCCATATTGTGTTGTATATTAACAGAAATAGCATAGAAAATACTGCAAAATGGCGCCTTTCCCAGCTCTCTATCTCATTTAGGACAGCTGTTAGAGCGATTTCAAACAAACATGGCTACCGATTTTTCACGTTTTTACGAAAGGTAACATAGCCATATTATTAAAACCGTTTGACAAAAAAAAAATTAATTTGGTATTTTTCTTAGTTTTAGTAAGTTACCCTCAGTGAGCACCAAATTTCAGCAAAATCTGAGATGGTGAGGTAAAATTGTTATCATAAGTGTGTTGATTTGACATGGAATGACCCCTCTTTCGTTAATACGACAAAGTTTTATAGTAAAATAACCAATAAAATCCATAATTAACTATCAACTCAATGTGAGATTAATAACCGACCTTGCTCTCATCTTAAATCTACACTGATAGACTGAGTAAGTTTAAAACGAGTCCGAACCAAGTCTGTCTGACTTCTGACTCGAGTAAAGACAAGATTCATTTCCAGAATTCACAGCAGAGCTTCAGTGCTATACAGGTCAGAATCGAGTCCAGTAATCACGTAGTTGCGGTATCAAGTCGAATTGACTCGAGTCAGGAGGGTACTCGACTCATCACATCACTACAAACCAGTTTCATTACCGTAAAGTTGTAACAGTTGTCATCAGCTGATCCATAACCCAAAGTTTATCTTTCACATATGCTACTTAGACCTGACTTCCCTAAATGAGTTATTGAGTTATTAAGTTATACTGTAACTTAATTTAGGTTAAAAAAGAGAGTAGGCTGACTCATGTTTTTTTTTTTATGAGGAAATTACGGGTACAGTTTCTTAACTGGGCGATTGAAACTAACTTATCGATTCGATTAACTTAGTAGGCCTTCATGCAATTTTTTCACCATCAGCAAGTTTGGTTGGCTAGGTTAGGTTATGATAAATTAATTTTATAATAGATATTTTCAAAAATATTGATTATTAATCAATATTCCCAATTCGATAGTTTTAATCCATATTATTTTTTGAATTAGTTACCGCCTTTGGTCTTGCAGGATGAAGTTATAATTCTCTAATATATTTCACCACATGTGTGGCATCTTCAGGGAGTCTTGAAGTTCTATTTAGGCCTACATATTTACACAGTTTATACACGTATCACAAGATTGGCACGTTTACGTCACGGCGGGGCTTCGCGAAAGCCCGCGCTCGCGTTTGCGAAGCCGCCGTGACGTAAACGTGCCGATCTTGTGGTACGTGTATAAACTGTGTAAATATGTAAATAGAACTTCAAGACTCCCTGAAGATGCCACACATGTGGTGAAATATATTGGAGAATTATAACTTCATCCTGCAAGACCAAAGGCTTAAGTTAAGTTAGGCTAAGGTAACTAATTCAAAAAATAAATAGGCTATTCTAGTTCTTGCCACTGGGAAAATACATAATATCATCAATCCATATTAGCAAGCCTAGCCCAGTTAAGAAACTTTACCCGAATTTACTTCTAGACGGATCTAAGTAACTTATATTTATAATCGGCCTAATTGCTATCAATGTCTTACCAAAAATAACTTAAGTCAAAAAGTGTTACCTATAGGCCTAGACCCTATGCCTAGGTTGGGAGATTAAGAAATTTCGTAAACTCTTAATTTAGGCTGGTAAGTAGAATTAACTTACGTTTTTCTACTGGAGCCTTGCTTAGGCTAGGCCTATTATTTTTCCTAATGAAAGTAATATCTTTGTTTACTCAACTAATCTTTGCTTCAACGATTGTATCCAAACAATCAAAATACTGTACTGCTACTGCTTTCCCTGCTGTCCACTCACTTCCCTAACCTTGCTTCTATTACTATTACAACTTACTTTCATGGATTAGATAAGCAGGTTATTTTGCAATTTGCTGCATGTTTTGTTTGTTTACAAACAGAGAATGAGAATACAGAAATCGTCGAATTAAACCAAAATGGATCGGAAGAAAGAAGAAGAAATTAAGAATATAGAAGGAAGTTGTGTTGTAGTCGAGTACAAAACTTAGCGTTAAGCGGTTGGGTGTGGGGTTATGATGTAGCTTATAATCGGGAATTTGTTCCATTGCTTATAATCTTGAAAATATGGTATAACTTAGTTATAAGATTTGCCAAACTTTCACGAAAAATAATATGCTATTCCACGATTTCTCTTAAATGTTGTAAGGTATGAAATATTTACTTATAAGTTTAATGGTCAAATAGTGGCGCAGCTTTTATAATCCTGGTTTTAGCGAATTTCCCATATAGGGAATAAGCTATTTATTAGCGAATTTCCCTATAGGGAAGTAGCTATTAACGTAGGTCTCATGGTAAGACTTAGGCCCGGGACCGATTTACTTTTTCATTTTGATGTCCCCAGAGGCCAAAAACACCACTCGTTCAAATTTTTATATATGTATATATATATATATATATATATATATATATATATATATATATATATGTCCGTGAACACGATAACTTGAGTAATTTTTATCCGATTTTGATGAAATTTGGTTTGAAGGTGTAAGGCGGGATAAACTTGAATGAGTTCGCGATCCAGCATGATCGGACCATGGGAACAGGGTTTTATGGGGGGTTTTATGGGGTAAAAATTGGTTTTTCTCACTTTTGACCCTCAAAACACAAAATTTCCCAATTTTTCTCTAAACCTTCTTAAAGAGCTTAAAAAAACAAACAATTCAGTATATCAAAGTGTTTTTGTACGGTTATTGGTTACGGAGAAAACTAAAAAAATGGTAAATTTAAAATTCCCATGTTATTCTTATGGAGAATATTGTAAAATGTTGTAGTTTGCTTCTTTATGGATATCTTTTGATCAAACTTGGCAAATATATTCATTTTATACTAAGCAATAATTATTTTACTTAAAACACACACTTCATTAGTTTCCTTGTAGCAGCAAACCTAGGTACTCGTTAAACCTAATGTTATTTAAATAGATCAATTGAAAATCAATTCAGCCAAATGGAAATTCGCTTAGGCGTCAGGTTTGCTGCGGCGGGGGTATGTTTTATCTATGGTAGTACCATAGATAAAACATACTCCCTTAGTAGATTTCCCATCCTTATGGAACAGCTGAAGCCAATTTTATTGTTAGTTCTCTACGGTTTTCTGTAGAGGTCGTGTTTTGTTTACAATTTGTTTCCCGTTATTACAGCCATTTAAAACCTCGTTTAACCAAATAATACGATCTAATCATAAACAATAAATTTTCCCCTAGTTATATAACCAAACAGTAAAGCACAAATCAAGAAATTAACCCTAAAATAATAGAAACAAAGTTTCGTCGACACTAGCGCCTTTGTGTCACGTAAATGAACTAGACACGAAAAACGTGCTTCAAAATTTACAATGGGATGAGAAGTCTACTTGTGTTGGTTAGTCTATGGTAGTACCATAGACTAACCAACACAACTATAAGGGAGTATGTTTTATCTATGGTAGTACCATGGCCGCCAATAACTCCAAGCCGCGGCCATCGAAGTGGCAACGTCGCAAGGAGGGTTGTAACAGCTGTTTTGTTTTCTTTGGCAGCTAATGGTATTTTTGTGTATTTGCGAAACTTTGGTTACTGGTCTATGAAAATATTGGCTACGCTTAAAATGTAAAGATATAGATATTTTATTAATATTGTTTCAGTTTTCAATTCAGTATGTTTTATTATCAATATTTTAATAAACATTTTAATCTTATGAAGTGGTAACCATTATTGAGCTAATAAATTAGCTAACTCATCAATGTTATGGTTATCTTACTTGTTCAAAGGTCAACATCAACTAAAGTTCTTATATGCAATGCAGGGTGTTTTTTTTAACTTGCTTTCTTATTTATATAAAAACTGCCAGGGATAGAAACATGCAGTTTGCTGAAATCATCTATTGACGTAGAGGCCACAATTGTTGAATTCAATGTGAAGTTCACATTCACTCCCCTTCTCCCCTACTTAAACTAAAATTTATTAATTAAACTTAAAAAATTTAAATTGCAAGGTACCCTTTTTGTTAAAAAATGAAAATGAATGGCGCAAACTAGAGGTATATACATCAATCCTATCAAAAGTTATGGCAGCTCAAAACTTTAATATCAAACCGCCACCTTTAACTTCTTATTCTTTTTGGTGGCGGGTTGACGTGGTGCACGGTCACCTTCAACTCCAGGCCGCGGCCTGGGACCTATTGCCCATTTCATAATAAACTAAAAGTTAAAACTTGTAACTTGTAATTTCCATTAGATTTACATTGGGCAATCAGCTTATTACTAATTATATTAGTTTGTACTTTATTATGAAAAAAAGACTCCTGGTGGAATTGGCTACGTCGCATGTAGGGCTTTTTATTGCCAGACGCCACATAAGATAACGTGGCAGACAGGTAGCATCAGCTCATTAATTCGCGATTTATTTATTTAAACTTAAATTTATGAACATAAATTTATTAAAATAGTTATTAAAAATAAAACATACAGAATTGAAAACTAAAACAATATGAATTGAAAATCTATATCTGTACATTTTAAAGTGGAGTTAGTTAGTCCAGTAACCAAGCTTTTGTAAATACACAAATACCATTAGCTGCTTCCCCAAACAAAAACAGCTGTTACAACCACGGCCGCCTTTAAATCCAGGCCGCGGCCTTCGAAGGGGCAACGTCGCAAGTAGGGTTGTAACAGCTGTTTTGTTTGGAAGCATCTAATAGTTTTTATGTACTAACAAGAGCTTGGTTACTGTACTATGAAAATATTGACTCCTCTTTAAACGTACAGGTACTGTATAGATTTTCAATTCATAGTGCTTTAATTTTTAATTTGTTATGTTTTATTTTCAATATTATTTGTTTATAAATTTAAATTTAAATCAATAAAGTGTGAATTAAAGAGCTGATGTCACCTGTATGCCATTATATCTCATGGGACGTCTGACACTAAACAACCCTACTTGCGACGTTGGCAATTCTACCAGACCGCGGCCTGGAGTTAAGAGTCCTTGGAGGCTAGCGGCCATCTTGGATGATTCCAAACAGCTGCTGAAGAGTTATTTATAGTCAAAAATATTTTTTCAAACACCAAAGTAATTATAATTTAAATATCTAGTATACTGTGAGAATAGAAATGTTATTTATAGTTTTGAATTTTTCTCCAATGGATTCCATGGAAGCTAACGGCCATCTTGGATTTGCCTGCCCTAACAGCAATGTTAATTTCGTTACTTTCAAACAGGCGCTGAAGAGTTATTTACCGTCCAAAAATATGTTTTCAAACACCAGAGTGATTGTAATTTAAATACTGTGAGATTAGAAATAGTCTTTGTAGTTATTTAATTGTTAGCGAATTTCCCATATAGGGAATAAGCTATTACCGTAGTACTCATGGTAAGACCTGGACCCGGGACCGATTTACTTTTTCGTTTTGAGGTCCCTAGAGGCCAAAAACACCATCCGTTCAAATTCATATATATATATTTATATATATATTTATATATATATATTTATATATGTGTCCGTTAGCGCGATAACTCGAGCAAAACTCATCCGATTTTGATGAATTTTGGTACAAACATGTAAACCCACGTTTATTTGAACGAGTTCGCGAATCAGCATGATCGGACTATGGGAACAGGTGTTTATGGGGTAAAAATGGGTTTTTCCCATTTTTAACCCTAAAAACTTAAAATTTAACATTTTCTTTCCAAACCATTTCGTAGAGCTTAAAAAAAACAAATAATTTAGTATATTGAAGCGTTATTATGCGCCTAATGGTTACGGAGAAAATTCCAAAAAAACTGTAAATTTAAAATTCCCATGTTATTCTTATGGAGTAATGGAGAATAAGTAAACTGTTGTAGTTTGCTTGTTTATTAACATATTTTGATCAAATTTGGAAAATACATTCATTTCATTCTAAACTATTAACATTTTACATAAAAAACACATTTTACCCTCCCTGTTGCAGCAAACCTAAGTACTCGTTAAATTAATGTTATTTAAATAGGGAATAAATGTGATATTTTTAAGGAGACATTTTTGTGTAAATCCAATCAAGCAAATGGAAATTCGCTTAGTCTGCAGGTTTGCTGTGGCGGGGGTATTTTATGAGTTAGAACGTCTAGGCTTCAAGGACTCTTAAAGGCGGCCGTGGTTACGACCCTACTTGCGACGTTGCCACTTCGTGGCCTGCAGTTAGAGGCGGCCGTGCACCACCACGTCAACCAGCCACCACGCACGGCCGCCTTTAACTCCAGGCTGCGGCCTTCAAAGTGGCAACGTCACAAGTAGGGTTGTAACAGCTGTTTTGTTTGGAAGCAGCTAATGGTATTTGTGTATTTATGAAAGCTTGGTTACTGGACTATGAAAATGTTGACACCGCTTTAAATGTACAGATATAGATTTTCAATTCTTTTTTTTGGGTTTTAATTCTGTATGTTTTATTTTCAATATTTTAATAAACTCATCTTCATAAATTAAAATTTTAATCATTAAAGTGCGAATTAATGAGCTGATGTCACCTATCTGCCATGTTATATCAAGGGACGTCTGACACTAAACAACCCTACTTGCGACGTTGCAAATTCTACAAGGCCGTGGCCTGGGGCCCATTTCATAATGAAGTACAAACTAATATGCTAATATTATTAGTAAATCAGCTGATCGCCCAATGCAAATCTAATGGAAATTACAATAAGTTACAAGCTGTAACTTGTAATTTGTAGTTTATTATGAAATGGGCCCCTGGAGTTAAAGGTGGCCATGGATGGTGCCTTGACGTGTTCCTAAGTCAATACAGGATGTTGAACTTTTTGAACTAAGTTACCTTAAGCCTTTGTTCTAGCAGGATGAAGTTATAATTCTCCAATATATTTCACC